CCCCCCCCCCTCTCCTCCCCCTCCCCCTCCAATCCAAAGAGCAGTCAGGGTTCCCTGCCCTGTGGAAAGTCCAAAGTCCTCCCCGCTCCATCCTGGTCTAGGAAGGTGAACATCCAAACTGGCTATGCTCCCACAAAGCCAGAACATGAAGTAGGATCAAAACCCAGTGCCATTGTCCTTGCCTTCTCAGCAGCCCTCATTGTCCGCCATATTCAGAGAGTCCGGTTTTATCCCATGCTTTTTCAGTCGCAGTCCAGCTGGCCTTGGTGAGCTCCCAATAGATCAGCCCCACTGTCTCAGTGGGTGGGTGCACCCCTCGTGGTCCTGACTTCTTTGCTCATATTCTCCCTCCTTCTGCTCCTCCTTGGGACATTGGGGTCCCAAGGAAAAATATCTCTTAATTGCATATTCTTTTAAGCACTTCTCAAATATCAGTATTTTTATCTCAGGTTACCTTTTATTTGTAATTCGCTACTATTTTTTGTTCATTTCTAAGTGTTCAGTGTAACATTTAAGGGGTATGTGCTTAAAAGTCAGTAGTTTAAGATTTTATCTTAACAGGCAACCTGAAGAGTATTTTTCTTTGCTTGATGAATTCATATACATTTATATTTATTATGAAATCAATACTCTTGGTCACTTAGAATCATCTCTATTCTATTACATGAAAACCCATAGGTAGCACTTACCTTAATGACATCTGTGAGATGTTCTGTATTCTAGATACAAGGAGTCCTTAATCTGGTGCATGGTTTTCAAACTTGTGTTTCCCCATCAGGGCATTGTCTTTATTTATCACCCATTACTTGGAAGAGCATACAGCTGACACTTGATGGACGTCCTAACAACAAGCTTCTCAACTTATGAAAAGAGGATTGTTATATCTAAGAAGTTTGGTTTTTATTGTTTTTAATGAGCTATATATTTAACTCCAATTCCCTACATTCCTACTGTCTCCCCTTCCTCCTCTCCTGTGACCCCCACACTCCCAGTTTTCTCAGGACTTCTTGTCTTTTTCTCCTTCCTATGTAGATCCAGAATGTCTCTCTTAGGATCCTCTTTCTTGTCTAGGTTGTCTGGGGTTGTGGAAAATAAGCTGGTTTTTCTTTGCTTTATGTCTAAAAGTCACTCATGAGAGAGTACATATTACATTTGTTTTTCTGGGTCTGGGTAAGAAATTTGTTTTGAATCCATGTTCCTGAGCTTGAAGGTATTTAGGTTGTTCCTCAGCCTGTTGCTCACCACCTTCACGTCTGACATTGCGCCTTTTATCATACCTAGTTCTGTTGCTCTTTCTCTCCCATTTCTCCACCACACATTTTGCTCACCATAATGGCTTCCTTGAAGTACCGGTTAGACCTGTGAATGTCTTCCCGCCAGCCCAGGCTTTGACAATGCAGGCTGGCCTGTGGGTGACTGGCACCTGCCTGAATAGAATTGTATCAGGCAGCCTGGGGATATCTTCCTTGCTCCCAATGACTTCAATGTTTTAAAAATTGTGTGTATATTGTAAGCATTGCTGCTCAGATGGAAAAGGATCATGGCAGTCAGGAGCCAAGGAATACCCCAAATTCACCTTAAACATAGGAGCTCACAGCCCTGCTTCAGGGAAAGTTTCCCCCAGATTAACAGCTCTGCTCTGGTAGGGGAGGGTTTTCCCAGCTAAGTTGTTAGAGCTCTGCTTAGATCCTCAGAAGAGTAACAAGTCTGCTCTGCTAGGAGAAGCTTTTCCAGTTCTGCTCCCCTCTCCTCTGCTCGTCTCCAGTTGAAGTCATTGCTTCTCTGTTCTTCTTAGACAAAGAAGGTCTCACCCAAGCCTCATTCAAGAGATTCACTGGGAGGAAAGAATCCAGGAGGTGGCTGCCCCTGCAAGAGTAGGAAAGGCAGCTCCCAACTGAAAAGGTACAGGTTGGTTTTGTGCTCAGTGGTCAGCTTGTTTTCCTGCTCAGGGATTGGTTGGTTTTATGCTGACAGAATGTTTAGTTTGTTTTGCCGTATTGGTAAGTGGAAGAGTGTGTTTCTGTGGCTTTGGTTTCAGGGGCAAAGTGTGTTTATTTCACTGGCCTTTTTTAAACGTTGGGCTCTGGTTCCAGGGTCAGTGAATTGATTCTAGTCTCAGAATCAGTGCATGTTTCTTTTGCTCTGGTTTCAGGATCAGGGTGTGCTGCTTTGGATAGAAACGGGTGTTGTTTCCCCTAGAAAGAGATATGCAGGCCATTGTGGGCCACCAAGTGAGTGCTGAGAACCCAGCCCAGGTCTTCTGTAAGAGCAACAAGTCCTCTTAACCATGGGGCCATCTCTGAAGTCCAAGTCATCAAATATTAAACGTAATTACTATTTTTCTACTTTGCCCCATAATGAAAATAGACATCTTCTTATACTCAGGTAGGTGCAAGTTTCATTATTATTGACCAATCCAGAAGGTTTCATTTCTATGTTAGTTAGGTTTTCAATCCTAACCACTGCCCTACCCTGTCTTCAGGAAAATACAACAATCTGCCATTATCAACCAATTTGTATATACTGGAATGTATTAGGATAGAATCAGAGTTTAGAAACATCTGGCGTTCACTCATCTTGCATATATGTTTAAATTTATCTATTTTGTTGCCCATGATAATTGTTCACTCTTAACATTAAATGGTGTAGCAATGTATAGCTACACTAAATATTTTAAAATTTCTTTTTATTTTATGTGTATATATGTTTGCCTACATATATGTATGAAGAGCACATTCATGCCTGGTGCCCTTGGAAGCCAAGAGAAAACTTCGGATCCCTTGGCACTGGAGTTACAGTTGGGAGTTGCCATGTCAGTTTTGGGAAATGAGTCTTTTAACTGTTGCCTGTTGTTTAGTTTGTTTTCAATTTCAATGTCTTGTATATAAAGCTGGTGTGAAATGAAATAAATAAGTCTTTAAAAGAAAATATGTCCTCTTTCTCCAGGTTATATGTTTGGGGTTGTGATGGTCAGATGACAATTAACATATGAAGAAACTGAGAAATACTTTTCCAAGTCTCTGTCCCGTTTTCCATGGCCACCAAAAGTTGGTATGAGACTTTCATTCTCCACAACCTGCCAGGTCTTTGTATGACAAGTCTTTATTTCTGAGTATTTTATAGGGGTGTCGAGAGTCCCCTCAGAGTCACCTGTCTCTCTTCCCTAAGTGTTAAGGATGTTGATGCTTTATGTTTCTCTTAGTGGAGCATCTACTCACCCTTCTGGCCAAGTTTGATTTCGTGAATTGTCTAATTTCTTAGTGGCTATTTTTGGAGCTTTCTGTATTCTGGAAACAAGAAGACTGTCATCTGATACACAATTTCCAACATTCATTTTCCCAGGTAAGGAAAATATGTTTCTAACATATATTTGGAAGAGTGGACATTCTCTCACTTTATTGTCATAACCAATGAGGCAGGCTGTCTTCATTTCTCTAGGTTTATAAGGAGTTTGAAGTCATGTGTTCATCCTCCAAGTTTGTTCCTTTTGAAGGTGTTTTTAAGCTGGGCTTCTTCATATTCACTGTGAGTTTCAGGATAAGCCCATTAGTTTATGAAAAGTCTGTTAGAGTTCTGTTAGTATTGCACTGGAACTGTAGGTCTGTATGAGGAGAACAGACACCTGTATCTTCCATTGCATGAAGGTGATTGCAGAGTGAATTCTGAATTCTAATTGGTCTTAATAATAAAATCTGGAGTCAGATATTAGGAGGTTGAATCTATAAGATCAGAACAGCAAAGCAGCCAGCTTCCAGTTCTTTCCCCTATGAAATTCTCAGACCGAATGGAGCGTCCTGCCTCTAAAAGACCTCAGACTGAATGCCTGGAGCTCCTGCATCGCCCCCCCCCTTATATTCCTCTCTTCAACAAACCCTGGGACGAAAAGTGTGAGTCACCACTGCCTGACTCTCTTTCTGTTGTAGACTGGATCAATCTAGAGTAACCCAGGGTGGCCTTGAACTCCCAGAGATCCATTTGCCTGTACCTCCTGAGTGTTGGGAAAGGTGAGTGCCACCACTGCCTGGCCTCTATGGCTAACTAGTGGCTATCAGCACACACTGATCCTCAGGCAAGCTTTATTGTCATGGAAGAAACAAAATATCACCACAGTGGACGAATCTATACATCTTTACTCTCTCTCAGCCATGATTTGTCCCATTCAGTGTCTAGGCACTACAGAGAAGCGGGCAGAGTTTTCCTAATTATTTTATATTTCCTGAAGCTATCTCCAGTGATAGGGATTTTATATTACAGCTTCCACACATTTCACTGTGGTCAACTGTCTGTGGTAGATTTTAACAGAAGCTCTCTTTTAGGTTGAAATGTTAGGTTTCTTTCTCTATGATGAAAATGTCTTTGATAAAATATATTTGCTTTTGTTTCAATTTCAGTATTTTGAAGTTGCAAGTGAATTATGAGAAAAGAAACAAATGTCCAACACCCAATTAGAGGGAAAATTTCTAAGGCAGCCCCAGGTCAAATGTTTGCCCAAATGGAATCTTTGGAATCATAGAGATAGTCCTTTACCTCCCAGCCAGCTCCATCAGGGAGGTGCTGAGATCACGGTGGAGAGAAAGAAGGGGATACATGTGAGGAGTTAGGTATGTATGTGTAACTCCAGAAAGGTTTGTACTATGTAGAATACTTAGGTAATTATTTTCAAAATATCTAATATTATTTTTCCCAACACAAAATGGTCAAGGTTATTACTCCTGTGTTTTCCCTCTTGTTTTCCCATCCAGTTACTCAGATTTTAGCAGTGTCTTCTGTGGACTGTACATACTGGGTGTTTTATGGATGGTTTTGCCATATTAATTATTACCATGACTCCTGCTAAGGGTTGCTCTGATACCTACTTCCCTGAGCAGTTACTAGTCTACAAGCATTGCTTGTCTTTGAGTAAAGTTTCCCTTTTTTTCTTTTGATTATTAATGGATTTACTCATGCATTTGTGTCTACTCAGAAACACCCATTTCTTAAAGGAGTCCTCTTTTGTGATCATTATATATTGTGATGCTTAAATTATCACATAACATGCCCGTGTGAGGACACACATTCAAGTGTATTTGCTCTTCACTTGTTATCTGCCTAGAATTCTGGATTATCGGACCACCCCTGTGAAGACAGTAATCACCAGCAAATGCTAGCTGTCAGTGACACTTTGTCTCCTCTGTCTGTCAATGTCAGGTCTCTTCTATGAGAAGAACAACAGGAAGGCAGAGAGAACACGCAGAAGGTTGACAAGAAGCTGACATGAGCCCTTGTGTTCAGTATGTGAGAGTCATCAGTGCCACCAGTGTGTGTGTGTGTATATGTGTGTGTGAGTGTGTGTATGTGTGTGTGTGTGTGTGTACAGGAAGGATCTGTGAGATGAACAAATAAGAGGAAAATGTCACTGCACATCTTTGACTTGACTGGATGCAGACAGACTACTCCATCCCTATGTTCAGTACAGTAGAGTGCATGAGCATTCTCATCTGCCTTCCTCCCCTCTCCATGAGCTTTCTCTCCCCTTTCTCTGCCTTCTAGTAGAACAGGGAGAAAACTGTGAACTCTCCATGCAGAACCAGCTCCTGGAGAAGAACCAAGTGTGGTGTGGTCTTGTCAGTCTGTTACCTAGCAAGAGTGACAAGATCATGTGGGACTCACCAGGTGAGTCATTTCCTTTTCTCTTCCCTTCCGTGTGACCAGCAGGGGATCTGTGATGTCTTGTAAGAACACATCCTGTTGAGTAGGTAGCAGCAATAGCAGCACACTGTGGAACAATGGTATTCATAGACTCCCCAGATGACTGAACCCTGTAGGGGTCCCTTTACATGACCAGGACTGAAATGGAAGCCATCCCTATCAGACCATTTCCCTGAATGGGCCATGCATTACTGCCTCACATTTGCAGGGAGTCCTTATTAAAATGGTAGATATCTGGGTCCACAACAGACACCGAATCATTCCCTGGGAAGTGGGGTGTGGCATAGCCACTTCTTTCTGATGGCTGTCCATGTTAAAAAGTATTGCTACTGTGTTTGATATTCTGTCCTCTAGGATATGGAGTCACAGACTGCTTAATTCCATACCATGTTCTCTTAAATACCAGTGTCTTACATGGCATATCAAATAGACAAATGAATTCGTTCATGTATGTTTATCCAGATAGTCACATACTGGCCTCTTTTGTGAGCTCCTTGTTCCTGCACTGAGAAGACTAGCAGGGGTCCTTGTATATTGTGTTAGATAGGTAAACTGTCAGGAAGCAGATGAAATCAGTAATCAGAGCAATTTCATGTATTATTTCTGTTTTAAATATCATAAAGAGGATAGGAAATAGTTGTGATTGGGATTGTTGTACGTGATGTTACCCCTCAAAGGTTTCAGAAGTTAGCATGTGATCTGAGTCCTGAATGACAAAAAGAAGCAAGGCTGTGCACAAACCATGTTGTGGGCGTGCTTGCCCCCATGGAGAACAGTGGATCTAAGAGGAGAGGACAAGGCCAGTGGCCAGAACCTTGAAGACAATGTGGACACTGCTTGGGGATAGGATAGAAAGGAAGATGTGTGTCGTTTTCAGCGGTGTATGACATTTGGATTATATGATCAGTGTGGAACGTAAGTTATGGAATTGACATGATTTGATTCCTTTTGGTGGAAGGTGACTTGGCACTGCATAGAGAAAGGCCTGAGGAGGGCGAGATGAGGGAGTGTGTGGAGACAGTGCAGATGTTTCAGAAGACAGGGGAGGGATGGAAGTGGATTGAAGGAGGGATGAAGCCATGCTGCAGTGATCAGCTGGAGAGCCGCCCTGAGCAGCCTTGTCTGGGAGAGGGCAGATAGCACATGTATGCGCTGTGCATTTTCCTTGTGGAGACATTGCTCTAACATCTCTGGATTTTTCTGACCGCATGGAGACACAGTGCTTCCGTTTACTGACATCAGTTGTTCCGCGTGTATTTGACACAGAATAGTTTGAATACCCAAACTAGTTATTGTAAAACTCAGTAATTTAACAACGTGTCAGCTGATGAATAACTTCCAGATGTAAACTTTTCTAAGTACAACTAACTGTAGCAGAATTTCCAAAAGAATAAGAATCTAACATTTGTCTAATGAAAAGCGAATATAACATTTAATGTATTTTTGAAAATGGCTGTTCTACAGCATGCACTGCTCTTGGCAGTTTGACAGATGAAGCAAGTGAGTAGGCTTTAGGCAGAGTCAAGGTGAAATCAGTCTCTAGGTGCTGCAGCTACTGCTTGTCCCTATTCTTTCTCCAGAAGAAGACTGCCTTTAGAAATGCATATTTTTGACAGGTGGGCGTGGCACACATATTTAATCCCAGGACTCACGAGACAGAGACACTATGATGTCTGAGTTCAAGGCCAGCCTGTAATTCCAATTGCATACATCAACATTAGTCTGCCAAATACGCAAAAACTTCTGACTGGTATTTAAAGCAGATATTATAACTAAAGGCCCCTAAAATCAGTAGGTGAGCATTCTAATGCTCACATTTACAGACTGGGGAGCAGGGCTCAGAGCACAGGGTCTCCTTCTGTTTTCTCCTCACAGTATGCCCAGCCTGTGTTTGGAAAATGGGTCCAGCACATCCAGGCTCAGGGAACCAAAGTTTCTGGGGCTAGGAAGGTTCCACATCTCTCTGATTCTAGAACAGTGGTTCTCAGCCTGTGACTTGTGACCTCTTCAGCAATCGTCTATCCCCAAAACTATTTTCATTGTGATTCTGGACTGTAACAACTTTACAGCGATGATGTAACAACAGAAATAATTTTCTGGTTGGGATCACCACACATGAGGGACTGTATTAAGAGTCACGTCACAGCATTAGGAACACTGAGAACCACTGCTGTACAGACATCTAAACACAGAATCCGACTCCTCAGATATGTCTGGGACCCCTTCATCATTGTCCCCATACTCCTATGGAGGCACAGCCCCACATCAGGACACCCACACTTACATCTCTGTGCAAGCGGAACCCTGTTCTTCTTTCTCCGTCATTTCTGTATTCACACAATATGCTATATTTCCAAATTGGTTTTTTTTATATCTTCATCACTCATCTTAAGGATGTGTCTGATCCTTTGACCAACCTTTTTCCTGTTTTGTGATTCTTCTGCAGGGTCTGGGTCATTGTTCTGTACACACAACCACAGACAGTACAACAGCAGCCTCCAGTCCCTTGTTGCTTACCTTTGAGGAAGCTGGGCATCTAAGGTAGGTTTGCTGGCAGGAGACTTGCTTTCAAGATCATGATGTCCTTGCCAGAGTCTGGACTCGAGCATGCTGTAGCACTTAGATCTGCCCAGCATCTGTGGCCCTGTCCCCAGCTCTTCACAAATGTGGTGGGAGCACATTTGGGGATTTTTAAAAGTGTTCCCTAGACACTGCTATGGCTCACCTGGCTGTGCCCACATTCCTAGCTATATTCTTGATTTCTCTGGTAGCTGAAAAATAAGAATGCTATACCATGAAAAGAAGTCATTGGTGAATTTAAAAAGCCACAGTATGGGGACAGGCGACATAGCACATGTGGTAGAATGATTGCCTAGAATGGAAAATGCTCTGTGTTCTTTGACCCTCTGGGCATGTTCACCCTCACCTGTAATACCAGCACTCAAGGCATAGAGGGAGGAGGAAAGAGACATGAGAGTCAATACTGTTCATGAGAGTATGGCTCCCAGCACCCATGGCAGATAGCTCACAACTGCCTTTAACTCCAGCTCCATCAGGAGTCAATGCCTCTGCCAATCATGTGCATACCACAGAAAGACAGACAGACAGACAAGCATACATAATAAAAAGTAAAACTAAAGTCTAACCAAAAAGAAGAAGAAGAATCAGCTTTAGGTTATTGAGCCAAGAGGAAAACACAGTGGAATTTAAAATATATGCACAGTAAAATGGCTAACAGACTTTAACAGTCTACAGTCTTGCAGGAGAGATGTTCAGTGGTTAAGAGTGCATTCTATTATTGCTGAAGATGCAAGGTCTGTATCTAGCATCCATTTCCAACATCTGTGATGGACCATACCTCAGCTCCAGGAAGATGTGACCTCTCCTGACCTTTGTACGAACCTGCATTCATGTGTACATACACACAGAAATATACACAACATAACTATTATTAAGTTATGTACATTTTTAAATAATATACAACATAAAACAATAGTGAAATGTTAAAGAAAAATGCTCAAATGTCAGACAGTAATGAGAACAGTTGTCATCAGCATTATGTGGTAAATGCGTGCACTTCCAGCTATTTGAACACTAGGGTTACAGGATCATTAGTGCTAAGAAGTTTCAAAACAGCCTGAATAGGATAGAGAGGCCCTTCCTCAAAATGAAAACCAAACATAAACCAGAAATATCTCACAAAATGCTAAATTTCTGAGAATAGCAATCTTAGAAAACATGGTTTTTCAAGACATGTGGATCATTATAAAATAAATTTTTGCAAGGAATTCGATGATAAAATTACTTATTTCTTGGGAATTCAACAATACACATGTAGAAAATGGAATGAAAATGTTACTGGGCCGAGAAGAAAACAGTAGCATTAAGAATGTGTTTACATTAAAATGAATACTTGAGCTGGGGCAGTGTGCTAAGCTGGGAAGACCAGCAGCACTCTGAAGGCTGGGGGAGGAAGGGGAAGAGTCCCAGGCTGGGCTGGGCTGCTCCGTGAGACTCTGCACTAAAGACACAAGGTAGATATCAGGACTATTATCATTCCATTCACTGTGGGAAAGTTTCAGCTTAGTTCTGTCATGGGAAACCATCCTCTTTCCATCAAATGAGAGGCACAGCCCTGTGCGCCCCTGGCAGACACATTAAAGATTACCATCCCCTAAATGGGGAAGTGACTTCTTCACCACCACATACAGCAAGGCGCGCAGAAAATGGCAGCTGGGACTGTACTCACATAGCTCATTCTCCAGAGACTTCCCTGCAGACAGTCCTGTGCCTTAGGGGTAGGAATCAGCCCAGCAACAGGCACAGATTTACTTATGGCACTATAAGTGCTTTCCTGTGGTGTTTGAAATTTCGTATCCAGGAAGGAAAGTACTTTAAAGTGTAAACTGAGAAAATACTTGTGCTCGGGTGGTAAAAGCGGGGCTGGGGAGACAGCTAAATCAGTAAAGGGCTGGCCTTGTGGGCATGAGGCCCTGAGTTCCATCCCTAGAGAGCATCATCAAGAAAATGAAGTTAAACTACAGCAGAAAAAGTAGCAATTGTGGTGGGAGATGCTTGTGTGTGAAAGTGGAGGCGAGCCCATCCCTGGAGTGTGCTGACCAGCCAACCCAGCCTGCCTTGCATGTTCCAGGCCAGTGAGAAACCTTGTCTAAGTAAACTTCAGGGGGATGGCGCCTGAAGTACAACACCAGAGGCTGTCTTCTGTCCCCTGACCACATGCATGTATGCACGCACACACACACACACATATGCACACATGCACACAATTGCACACGCACTCACAGGCATGCACGAACCCACAATCACACATTGGATAAAGTATTATACACCTTCCATACTTCAGAAGAAGTCATTTTGTTCAGTTTCTGGAGCAGTAAAGACTAATGGAATCTATTCTGATACTGTGTGCATGCGTGTGTGGTGTGTGTGTGTGTGTGTGTGTGTGTGTGTGTGTGTGTGTGTTCGTGTTTACACACAGAGCTCCACCATCTCTATCTAATGAGGCTGCATTATGTTAGCCTTAGACTGGGATTGGTCTCCAATTTGATATACCTAAGATGTTAAGGTTTATGTGCCAGGAAAATATAATGAGGTGAAAAACACTGCCTTATCTCCAGAGGTAAAGTCCCTTCAAGTCCAGGTCACAGCCAATGTTCCCTCCCTCCCAACCACAGAATCTACTGGGCCCAGGATTTTCACTGATGTAGTTCCCACTATGGCCAGGAGGTGGCAATCAAACTACATGCCTACATTTATTTTCTTTAAAAGGGCTGATATTTTATGGAATAGCAATGCGTTTTTAGTGTGTTTGGAAAGCTGGCACACATATAGAGCAGTTCCATTTATGGACTGCAGCAACTGTAGTGCTCCACAACTCACTTCATCCTCCCTGAGTGAAAAGTGGGCAGTGCACACGGGATACAGAGTGGTTGGTGCTCTGTAGAGAATATGAATGTGGTGGTCACATTGAATTCCCTGACACTGGGATGGATGAATTTCCTAGACTTTCCATCCCCTCTCCAGGAGGCTGTGGTACAGCCCCCAGATGGCTCCCTGCCAGACAAGTTGTATCCTGGTCAGTCACTGCCATTGTGTTGCACCATGCCTGCTGGGGACTTCCAAGAGCAACCTGGTGTTTGTGGTGTGATTACCATGTATGCTTCCATGGTGTTTGTGGTGTGTTTGCCAGGTACTTTTCCATGAATATGGTCTGCATATTGTTCAGATGTAATATGTATTCACCCTTACGATGTGGACCTAGCTTGGGGGCCCTTCTCTGTTCCAGGAAGATCTCCAAAGTATTTCTTTTACCTCCCCATCATTTTAGAGCCACTAACTAGAAAAAGAAATTATCCCCTGAGTCCTACAAGAAGAGATAACACAGAAGAAAAGAGGCAGGAACCCCAAGTCCCTTGACCGCCACAGGCCATTGTCTGAGCTACTGTTCTATTGCTGGGAAGAGGCGCTGTGTTGAAGGGAGTTTACAGAACACAGCATTAAATTGGGAGCTTGCTGTCAGTGTCAGAGGGTTAGTCCAGTACCATCACTGTGGGCAGCATGGCAGCAGGCAGCCTGGCAGGGCACTGAAGCAGTAACTGATAGTTTACATCCTGATCACAGGAAGGGGCAGAGGGCTTTGAGACATCAGAACTCACACCCCCAGTGACAAACCTCGTCCAATAGGGCCACACATCCTAATCTGTCTTAAACCATCCACCATTGAAACATTAACCATAGGAGCTTATGGGGACCGACCTCATTCAAACTACCACCGTCCTGTAAGGGATTTCCTCTGCCCCATCAGCAGCTGCAGAGGGAGAATTGGGGCTGGTTGAATACCCATAATGCATTGACTAGAATCTGTTCCAAGTCATTAATACAAGAGACTACTGTGTGACATTTGGGGCGAGCAGGAGGCCATTCAAGTTACTTGTCTAAAATAATGTGCTCTTCAGAAGACAGTAGTCTCCTTTTGACCCTCTTCATGGATACACCTGGTAAACTGAAACTGTAAAGACCTTGAGTACACAGGAATTTACGAAATGCCATCTGTCGTGGTCAGTGTTCTATCGCTTTGAAGAGACACCATGAGCAAGGCCACTCTTATCAAAGAAAGCATTCACGTGCCTTGCTTATACATTCTGAGGTTGGTCTGTTACCATCACGGCAGGGAGCATGGTGGCATGCAGGCAGACATGGTGTTGGAGAAGTAGCTGAGAGTTCTATTACCTGATCCACAGGGAGAGAGAGGTTGACACTGGGCTGGCATGGGATTTTGAAATTCAAAGCCCACCCCCAGTGCCCTTCTTGCTCCAATGATGCCACATCTACTCCAACAAGGAACCACACCACCTAAGCCTTCTCAAAGAGTGCCCCTCCCTGGAGACTAAGCATTCAAATATGTGAGCCTATGGGGGTCATTCTTATTCAAACCTCCACACCACCTCCAGACTCCAAGAGATTTGAGATCTGTTTTTGCCAGGAGCATATTCCTGGGATGGTGTACGCTGTAACTAAGAGAACATTAGGAGACAAAAGCTTCCCTTTTATCCCACATTGATGCTCCCCCACTATTCTGCAAAGAAGATGTGTGAAATTTCTCTCTTTTTTAGCTTAATATGACCTTCTCCCCACTTTGTGCTCTTATATGAGTATCATAAACACAACTTGGTCAGTGATGTTTCCCTTCCAATTCTGCAGTTGCTTCTAGGCTACAGTCTGAGACATTATACCAGGATATCAGATGTGCACATGGCCAGAGTTTTGTGGAACTCATCAGTTTCTCAGACATGCACAGACAGGTGTTCTCTTCAGGTGCTTAGCTGACTTGGGGCAAATAAAAACATCGTGCAACTTACTAAAACGGGAAACTCAGAGATTTGAATTGTCTCGTTGCTTGAAGAAGCACACCCACTGGTGAAAGAAAGTGTCCTTGAGTCCTTCCTTGTGAGTGGGCAAAAAAAATATCCACAGGAGAATTTTCTCTTGTAAGAAGCAGTTATAGAATGAGATGGTGGAACATGCAGACAGGGTGGAATAAATTCCTAATGCAGTGAATAAGTTAACTATGTATGCCACCCTTGGGGAGCTGGAGAGATAGATGGTTCATGGTGAGAAAAATAATCTGTTATAATTGGAGGCAGGTGGCCGGGCGGTGGTGGCACACACCTTTAATCCCAACACTCGGGAGGTAGAGGCAGGTGGATTTCTGTGAGCTCAAGGACAGCCTGGTCTACAAGAGCTAGTTTCAGGACCGGCTCCAAAGGTACAGAGACACCCCGTCTCAACCCCACCCCCAGTAGAGGCAGGTAACATCTGATGATTCATGTCAGAATGGCAGGACCACAAGGCATCTAGCCAGTTGGTCTACAGGCATGAGAATTGGGCGGGAATTCAAGGATCCATGTATTCAGGGCAACAGAGAATTCATTACACTCTGGTTAGTGGCATCTTCTGGACATAATAGGAAAGCTTTTGAGAAATTACATTTCCAGTGATTATCTCTCAAATGAGCCGAGGGATTTTTACAGAATTGCAATCCTTCACGTACTATATGGTACATAGAAGGACCTAACCCTAACCCTAACCTTAACCCTAACCCTAACCCTTGGGGAGCTGAAGCGATAGATGGTTCATTGGTTAGGATTGATACTTGCTTCCCCAGAGGACCTGAGTTCAAATCCCAGCACCCATGACAGGAAGCTCACAACCATGTGCAACTCCAGCCTCCAGGATCCAACCCACTGGACGCTGACATTCACATACATAGCCCTCCTCCCCAGGGTTAAAGTAAATCTAAAGGCAAAGACAACCAATGAAAATTAGGAAAAGTTGTTCCCTGTCCTGTTATATTTTGAGGAAAATTTTTGGTTTTGTTCATTAACAAGAAAAAAAAAAGCCATTTAAAAAAATTTAAAAGATGCCATTTCATGATGAGAAAATAATCTGTTAAAAATGGAGTCAAGAGACATCTCATGATCCATGTGGGAACAGCAGGACTGTTTCCTATCACTCTCCCCAATCCAGAGCCCCTGCAAATTCAAACAGTGTCTCTATTACACTCCCACACTGCCTACAGGGATTTTCCACTGTAAACACAGTGAGGCCTGCACCCCATAGCTCAGGGAAGTCCATGAATTCCAGAGCTTTCTAACATTCTTCAGAGGGCTGGACTTCAAACCCGCCTGTCACCTGGTGTTGAAGGAATACTGAAGGCTCCTGTCACATTCCCCCCCCCCCC